ATGTCCCCGGCCAGGGCTCGAACCCGGACCGCTCGATCTGGAGACGAGCGCACTAACCATGAGGCCACCGCCATTCTCACTTGCCCAGATCAATAAATACTAAAATCCTGCAGAATATGATCACAATGAGATTTTAATTAATCAGTTATTTAATGAGTGTAGGATCAGATAAAAATGCCAGTCTATGACACAATAAATTTCAACCTATGACCTCTTGCATACCAGGCAGAATCTCCGGTTACTAAGCTACTGAGAACATGTGATGGATTCACCAGCAGTTCTCAGTGAACGGGAGGTGCAGTGGCCCTCATGGTTAGTGCCTGATGGGTCACTTCGCTCGTATACAGACTTTACCTACATACCTTTTACCTCTCAGTGAGCATGAAACTGGTATTGCAGGACGTAATGGTTTCAAATCCTATCAAGGACTCTTGATTTGTCCAAGCTCCATGACGCACTTGTAGGTGATGAACATCTCTTCAGGGTTTCACAGAGGCTCGTATTTACCCTGATTCAATATTTCACCATACACTAAAGACTTTGAGACTGCTAATCCTAACCAAATATATCAGCGGGATGCTTGGTACAGAAGAACCGAGCAAAATTTCCAAGCTCCTCAATAGTTCTCACTAGCTCAGTGGTTAAAATATCAGACTGGTACAGCAGAAAGTCTTAGGTTTGAAGAAAAGGAGAACTTGACATGAGATCAAGATTCACTTAGGGCTTTTTTCTACACACCCCTTCAATTGTCCCACACTCGTCACATTTTAGGAAGCTTTTATTTACAATCATTTCCTTTCTAATGAACTTAAATCAATATGCAAAAGATATGTACAAACCTACCCAACCCTGCCAAAAAGCAAAATTTTTCTTTTTTATACAATTCAAGCAAACCAATGTTGCAGACAATATTTCTGTTTCAAATGAAAGGGGAGTTCCTTTAACTTACTAGGGGTTTCAACTAAAACCAGAGACTTAAAATATTGACTTATAATAATTTATTAAGTTATTGATTTTTTTTACAAACCATGATTCCTAAAAAAAGGTAGTGATGTAGTGTTGTTTTTTTTTTTTTTGTAGTGCACAAAGATGGTGAAGTCTGTATCTCAATCCTTCATGAACCTGGTGAAGACAAATTTGGTTATGAACGTGCATCAGAACGTTGGTTGCCAATCCACACAGTTGAATCTATTTTAATGAGTGTTATTTCCATGATTTCTGACCCTAATGACGAGTCTCCCGCCAATGTCGATGCTGCTGTAAGTACACTGTACTGCTCTTTTTTCCTGTCGTTTCTCAAGTAGTAATTTTCCTTCCAAGTTGCAAGTAGGTACAAGATAAATAATAAATAAGTGAATAATAAATTAGAATGATGTTTGAACCTGTCTTCCTACATTAATTTATTTCTAGGAAATCAACAGTAAGCTTCATAATGAATTTTAGAGGTGCTGTACAACATTATTGTGAGAAACTAGATACTCTCCTACCTTACAAACCATGTTCGAGGTCCATACTGTAAGTTATGCACCAAGTTTTTTCCACTTTGATTTATGGCTGGCGCACTTCACACTTAGGCCATAAAACAAGGATCTGTAACTTACAGTACAGACCGAGAAGACAAGATTAGTAAGATATTTATTATATCTCTACTGTGCTTCTGAGTGGTTTGGGAATGATTGCTATTCATGCAGAACGTCTTCAACTTTCTGACACATGTCTAAAGCAAAACAAGTCAATATGAAATCATTGTTTAAAAAGTCTTCAGCACGTTTCAATACACAATTTAAAGTAAAAGAAAGTTTTAAACTTTACTTGCTATAAAAGTTAAAAAAAATTGCGATAAATCTCGAAACATTTTGGTAACAAAAACAGCTTTACATATTAGCGGGCCGTGCAGTAGAATACCATTATAAAGCCCGCTAAATTGACCAATCACAGTGCATGTAGTAACTGAGAGATATAGTAATAACTTGTTTGTTGAATGGCTTTCTTGTATGATTTACTTCACAGAAAGAATGGAGGGAAGATTACTATGGAATTTTCAAGAAGAAAGTCAAAGCATGTGTTAAGAAAAGTCAAGACGATCTCATATCCTAATCATTGTACAGTACTCTTTTTTGCCTTTGGAGGAGACAACAAAAATGCAGAATTATAGTCATAGTCATTAGTAATACTTATATAATTAAGTTTGCAGGGGTTTCGAATTAAGATACTACTGGCAGTTTACAAGAGAATTTCATTGTTTGTGAATTTGTTTACATTAGCACAAAATATGATTAACCAAATTAAAGATAACCAGTGTTCAACTTTTGAGCAGCTTTTTCAACCAGAACAGGGATTGGCAAATTATAAAATGTAGCCATATAGAATCAGAAATTTAAGCCTGCTGTAGAGAGTGTACAGTACAACTTTTAGTTTGCAAATGGTAGGTGACTGACATGCACATTGCAGCATGTTATTGACTGTACTTTGGAAGAAAAGAAAAATAACTAGGTTGAACAGGAATGTGCGTTAATTACTATCAGAATAAAGCATTAGTTTTTAGACCTCAAATTGTGCTCTTGAACATCAAAGGTAGCCGTAGTGATTATATGCCTTCAGATCTCTATGACCAGTAAGCTTTTGCATGAATTTACAGTATATTTAACTGGTGCTAAGCCGAACAATTGCTGCCTGCCTTTATACTTACTGGTAGCTAATATCAGTGTCAAGCCCTGGAAACTGTTGCTTAAAATGGGTACAGTTTTTCCAGGTCGCATTCAACTTCATCATGTCATTCCTAGAGCTTTACCATTAGGAGCCACTGTACTGTAAACCATTTGATTGAAACCCCTGCAATATATAGCTTGCTAGATTCTTGCAACATTTTTGTAATATATTTCTCACATTGCTTTCTATACATGTTGCAGAAGCTTACCATTTTTTGGCTGTTGTAGTTTATTGGTGTAAGCAGCTGCATGAAAAGGTTGATAATAGCTTATTATAAGTTGATGGTCAATTAACCTTGAATCAACGAGAAAAATTCTGACTCTTTTATATTAATTCACACTGCTGTGAATCTGAGTAAATGTGATTCAAATCACAAGGCTGGAATACTGTTGTGTAATATGTTGCTCGACATCTTTTTCTTGACACAAAATATGTGAACAAATGTGGATCCTTTGCAATCATAAGATTTTCAAGCGTAATTAGTTGGAAAATGTAATGATCATCATTCTTTCTTGGTAACAGTGCACCATATACAATACATAAGTTGTAACATACATGTACTTAACACTTCTTTTCAATGCAAAAACAACTTCTCTTGCTTTCTCTCAAGTGAATGTAATTAACAGTATCATGACTAATGATGGTGCTGATTTGTACAATGGTAAATTATAAGGCAGCAGAATACAAAGTTAAAACTAAAATGAAATAGCAACTTATCACCATTTAACAATCCTGAGCTCAACTATGTCTAAAATGTTTAAAAAAAACCTTTCAGATTCTTTCAACTGTAAGTTCTGGCCATCTCTGTTCCACACAATGTTATGCCATTGGACTACAAGAACCATATACCCCTACCTCTTAAACAACAACAGAAACAAAACCAGTCTGACTTTTTATACTATACAAAGGTATAATGCAACTTGATTTTACTTGGTGTCCTATAGATACTCTGACAATGATTTGAGTTACTTTTAGTACTGGATATCAAATAAATTCGCCCCGCCCCAAACATCCTTTGGTTTTTTCTTGATATTTAGGTATTCGTACATTTAGAAGGAAATGAGCTGCTTACAGTACATTCAAGTTTCGGAGACAAAGCTTGGTCGTCAACTTAAAAGGAAAATATTCTGCCTAGGGCTAAACATCCTTATTGCTTTCTTTGTTTGAATTTGGCCTTAATTTTGGAGACTGTTTGAATCTGTGGCTGGTTTTCGACAAAGTGCACTTTGTCAAATTAATTTTCTACATCCAGATTTTTAAAATTCTTGATTGGGGTGTTAATTCTGTGTTTGTTATTAATAATGATTTGGAAACCATGCATTCTGACTTTGCTGATTGAGGTTGATTGATATGTTTTTTTTTTTTGCATTGTGCTTGGTTTCTTCTTACCTGTTACAAGGCACTGCAAATAATTATAAGTCTGGTCCAATTGGACACCCTAATTGCAATCGTGTCTACATTGGTAGCCTAAGCTTTGCATGATTCTTAAGTTTCAGCTACCATATCCACAAATGTGTTGCTTCTAAGGTATGTACTGCGTTACTTGGAAAACTTGCTTGACATATTTCTTACAACCCTTTAAACTTTGGGATTGTATGATCACTATCTTGCAATGTGCAGTTCCAGAAAGTATCCATACCCACCCCAAAGAAGGTTAATGGGAATTCCAAGGGGGAGGGGTCACAAAATCTTAAGTATGAAGGTATTATACTGGAATTTCAAAAGGGGTAGGTGGGGGAGGGGGGGGGGTTCAAACTAAAAACCATCCGTGGGAGGTGTATGTGTATTTTCTGGAACAAAACAACAAGGGTCACAAGCAAGGAAATGATCTAACATTTTCTTGCCATTTTCATGCCTTAAAACTACTACCACAGTACTATGTGTGTTCTACTAGAAATGTCTGGAGACTTGCAAGAGTTGACAAGTTGATATTAAGCATTTGTGTTCATTTACTTGTTTTACGCAACAAAGTTATTCAGAAATGCTCACAAAAACTACAAAATCCTGACTTGATTCAACAGCTTGCTGCTGCTGTGTGCAGATTTATGTCAGTGTTTTGTATAGCCCCCCTTGTACATGTATGCATCTGTTCCTTCGGCATGTCACATAGGGGTTCAGTAGGGTTTAATATCTTGTCAACTGGTGGCTAGTATAAAGAATTGGAATATAGCAGTGTGGTAATTAGGAGCAAGAAACTGCCATTATTTGGATTGCAAGAAAATGTTAGTGGCGACTCTTTCATTATTTGAGCAAGCTTGATCATACAACTGCAAAGTCGTGCTGAATGAGAGCTAAGACAACTTTTGGGTCCTCTTCCTCAATAACCCTTTCTTTCGCTATTTTGATCCAGCCTGAATGAATGAATGAATGAATGGCAGCAAAGGAGGCTATGCTTTATTCCTTTAATGGGCAAAATACAGATGTGATAATAATAATGAAATAATTTCTTGTAGTGTACTAACAGTGTTTCAGTGAAAAGGTTTATCTGCATCAATAAGTTTGTACTGTATAAGCTAAATGACTGTATATTTGATATTATGCTTGAAATGTACAGTACATTTATTGCACAAAATAAAGAAATTTTTAAGGAAGCTAAGTTGTGGATGATTGTTCTTTGTCAATTTTTCATTGACTGCAAATATTATATAAATATTACAGTCAAAATAGTTCAAAATAATTGTGAGTTTCCTGGACAAAGGAACCCTTTGTCAGAAGGTTCTTCTTATTTGTCAATTTGGAAAAATTATAAAGTGAAGCTTTTTCCTACATGGGTGCTATGTTGTAGAACAGCCTTTCTGGTGAACTTTGATCTACAGTTTCTTTCAGTGAATTTAAAGGTAAACTGCGTCATTACAGCTTTGAATGAGACACTACGTCCTTGAAAAGCAGCTTTGGTAACATGATAGGTTTTTATTCTTATAATACTATTAAAATAATTATTAGTTATTTTAGTTAGGCAGACTTATATATTATACTTTTAAATTATGCTGAAGGAATTTTTACCATGTATAAATAAAGTTATCAGCATCAACTCATACCACCTGCGGTTTCATGGTGTCGAGTTGGCAGCTAATCAGCATAACTTGAATAACATGGAGAAATAGTCTGTTATTTGTACTATTTCAGATTTGTGTAAATAGTGAAAGGGTAATGCTTGAACCAATAACAAACTGGTACATGCTTGCATACTAATCTGTAAATGAGAGGTGAGAGGAGCTGTTCCTCATCAGACATGGTTACCGTATTTGCCCCCCTAAGCATCCCATAATAGCTATTTGAAACAACAGAACTAAAACTGGCCATATCGCCAAAAAGGTCCATTAAAGTCTTGGAGGAGCTTTGCAAAATACATGTACAACCCATGTTGGACTCACGATAGACCTAAACACCACACTCGGGTTGTTGGGAAAGTGGTTAATGCTATCTACGCACCGGATAAATCCAGCAGATAGCTTGGTTTGTTTTCCTAACACTTATCCACTAGAAAGCGATTTGTCCAGTGGATAGCGTTATCCAGCCTTCGAACAACTGGGGCCTGAAATTTAACACTAGCACGGTAGCTTTTATTTAATTATGTCTGGACAAGAAAAAGAATACTTCACAGTGTTAATCAGTGTATGACCACGTATAATCACATATTTGTTACATATTGTTAAAAAACTTACAAAAAATGTTACGTCTCACAAATCTTTCACATCAGTCACAAGTCACATTAATCACTGTCACTGCTTACTAACACTCTTGCTCGCCTGGGTTTTTTCTTCTTAACTAAGGGTGACGTCTCAAGTTTAATAACAGTATCACTCTTGTGTACCAAAGAAGTCTCTGTTCTCTTGTGATTACTGATGGTTTTAAGCTGATGGTTGGTTAAGCCACTTTTCTTTCGTTGCATTTCAGTAGGGGAAATGGCATAACCTTCTAAGTGATCAAATGAAGTACTTGGAGACCTGCGCTGTCTTTTGGTGAATATCGATCGCTTTTTGTTAGATTGAGGAGTGGGTTTTACAAATGTAACAATGGAGAAATCGTCTTCCTGCATCTCAGTGGATGTAGATGTTGAGGGAGAACCAATGCCTCGTTGTTGCAGCTCCTGCCTTGCACAAAACTTGTTAGTCTGTTTATTTTCACTCTTTCTTGTAGTGACAGATGTTTTTGATACATTTTGGCATTCCTTTTCTTTCTTGACATCACTTCTAGCTTTAACCCTTGCTTTCTTGATTCGCTCACTTAAAACTTCATTCTCAGAATCACTACTACTTTCATATGCTTCACTGTGACTGGAACTTTCTCCATTTTCAACTGGCTTCTTTCCTTTACAGGCCCGTTTCCTGCGAGATTAAAATAATATCATTGTAAATAGAGTGGTTTTCAACTGAGTGTCGAAAGTAATTAGGCAATTACTTTGGTTTTGGTTTTGGTTTTGGTTTTAATATAATGGTTTTAGATTGGCTGAGTAGTCTAATTGGTAAGTAATTGGTTTGGTTTTGGTTTTACGACACTCAATTGAAAACCTCTATGCAGTAATACAAATGACTTGCTTGCAAATTATAGCCAATGGGGAACATGGTTTAAGGATTAAGAGCCCTGCTAACATGAGAAGTGGTTTTCAATAAATAAAATTTCACTTATGCTTCATACTTTCCCTTTAAATCTTTTGCTTTTGAAACCCTATCCCTCAAAATTTCTAATGATCTCCCTGTCAGTGTGGTTGGTATAATGGAATTTCTTGGAACCACACATTTGTGGACAGGAATGTTTATTATCAAAGTTGCATTTGGTATCTGACACATGCATAATTTACCTAGTAACTGTTCTCTGATTAGTTGTAGATGGGGTCAAAGAATGTGCTTCAGCTCGTTTTGTGGCCATGCTGATCCAGCCATCAGTCGATCGCTGGTTGGTTGGTGATCTACTTCTTGAAGATGTCCCTGGTTGAAATTCATCATCACTGACAGAGGTCTGATGAATCAAGGAAAGAGCACACAAATGCTTTTAAAGCACATGCACTTATAACCTGGCCAAATATTGTTCTTAACTATAATTTTTAGTTTTCTTGCCTGCTTCCAACCTCTGAAAGAATAAAGTTAAATTTATTGAAAACTCATATATTAGGTGACTACCATTCATTTCTTTAGCCAATTCTTGACAGCAAGGTTTGAAATTGCTGGCATCAGTTTATGCAATAACCATCAGTTAAAATCAAATTGGCTAATTCACAATATTTAAGTTAATACACTAACAGAGGCACAGTGGCCTCATGGTTAGTGTGCTCAACTCCATAGCAAGCGGTCCTGGTTTGAGCCCTGGCCAGGGACACTGTGTTGTATTCTTGGGCAAGACACTTAACTAACTTGGTGCCTCTCTCTACCCAGGTGTATAAATGGGTACCGACGAATTTAATTTAATGCTGGGGGTAACCCTGCGATGGACTAGCATCCCATCCAGGGGGGAGTAGAAATACTCCTGGTCACTTCATGCTACTGGAACCAGTAAGAAAAAAAGTATGGAAAGTTTAATAATTTTTGTTCAGTGACAGAACCATAATTATATCTACTGCATCATCCTTTGTTATCTTCCTTACCTGTCTCTTTCTTTTACTCTTGCTACTCTCCTCCTGAGGTTCCTGTTGTTTCCTAGGTTTGTGTGATCGTTGTGATCTCCTATTGGTACTAGCATTAGGTCTGGATGTTTCAGAACTTTTTCTTGTCCTAGAATTATTGTGTTTTCTTGTTTTCACCTTACGTTTGCCTTTGAACTTCTTACTGTGATTTCCAAATGGTACTGCAATATTGTACCGCTCATCTAATGACACAAAATTATTTAAAATACTAAACTTGTAATTCAAGAAAGACAAGAAAACATGTGTTTCTAAACTATTTTATGGCTGTTTATAGACTTTTTCCCAATTCTGTACCATAACAGTTACAAAAATATGTTTAGTATGATCTAATCCATAAACTAAAGAAACTCTTTCATGTCTCTGTTTTAGTGGTTTTTGAAACATTGCTTTATATTATTGTTTCAGGGCTTTCATTGAGGGCCAGGCACTGGGCAAATTGACCCGCTGTGAGGATGATTTTGCCCGTCTAGTTTGACCATCTAGAGGAAAGTTTTTCTTCAAAAATGTTTGCCCGCCTGTTATAGCCAGTCGTACTGAAAACATTAGAGAAGCCCCTGTAGTTTACTGAGGTAGCAGCACCAGGGCAAGGTGCAATGGTTACTCACTATTATAACTAAGCAATAGCTACTTACCTGATGACTCATCATCTTCAACTATAAAGTTGCCAATGCTTGCAGGTGATAGACACAATACATCCACTCCTATCTCAGACAGGCTTATAAAGCAGAGAATTTCAAAATAATGATGCTTAAACTCTGAGGCAGCAAAGTCACTTATTACATAGCCTTGAGTTTTAGATTTCAAGCATTAAAGGAAAACAAGGTGTGCAGAGGAATCAATGGATAGAGACCTATGGTACTATAGCTTTCTGCATTCATTGTGGGCCAATTATACTTCTGTAGGTAAACATTTTTATTTTCTTCCTTTACTCAGGAGGTCAGAAAATCAATCTAATAATATTATAAGTTGACTTGACAAATAAAAACTCAAGACAAACTTGAAACTACTAAGCAAGGTCGTTGAATACATATTCTGTAAAGGAAAAGAATGCTTTCGTAAATTGACTTGGGCAAGTAACCAGAGGGACTTTTTTAAGACCTGGCACCCACCTGCCCACCCTACATAATTTGTATTTCAGCCGACTTGATCACTCCCTACTTCTTGGTACTTTAGTTTTTCCGACTGAAGCTGCTTTCCATACTATCGCTCTTAGTGACCATAACCAAGGCAGGAAAATATAGAGTGGTTTTCAATTGAGTGCCATAAAACCAAAACCAGAGTAATCACTCTGACCAATCACAAAGGACGCAGGCCATCCATTGAACCAATCAAAACTCAAAGTAATTACATATTGTGGATGCAAAGTGCAGGAAAATGTCGCACAAACAAGTTACAATAATATTGGTTTTGGTCTTACTTCCAACTGGATGAAAAAGTGATGCAAGTCTTTTCCTGGCAATTGTGCAGCATAGTTTATGTACCACCAATTACTTTTCGACACTCATTGAAAACCACTCTATTCATAGACAATTAAAAAATAGATTGACCTCCAATGAAATGGCACTAAACAAAGATACCAAACATTACCTGCACTACCAGTGGCAGGTTTTACCTCCTTCTTTGAATTGTTAAGGGTTACAAGAATCATTTCCAACAAAAACTACATAGTGGATGCATGTTTTAGGATATGAATCAGTGACATGGGCGAAACTGCTCAATTTGTACCTTATTGCACAGTTCTATTTTCCTATTATTTATTACAATTACCAGTACTTAATTACAGCGTAAGCATACTGTACCTGTCAAAAGTGGAACTTCTTGTATTTCTTGAAGATGTTCTGAGAGTAGCACGCCTGTTACGGAACTGATATGGACTGGTTCTTTGTCCTACACTGTCATCATCACAGCTTTCTCCAGAACTACTTTCCTCACCATCATTATTAATCACGCCTAAATCTTCCTGGCTGTAAGTAGCATAAAGGTATGCTTGCAGTGCTTCATCAGTGTCATCGATGAAGGAGTCCTCATGGTCGTAATCATCAAGACGTAGCAGTCTGGATGTCTCAGAGTTGCCCCTTCTGTCAACCTAGAATTGTTTGCAAAGAACACTGACTTCAAAGAATGAAAATCTATATACCCAGCGTTATGATGTACATGTATATCAAGTAAGAGACCTATTTAGTAATGATAAACTGTTTTTGTTTTTGAAACCTCAGTGGTGACTCCTCAATGGCGTCAAATTGAAATTAATAAGGAACTTGCTAATAAATGTATTTGAAAGTGTTAATGACAATCAACACTGAACTTCAGTCAACATAGCACACAGAATTTGCATTTTATCATACAGTGTAGTTGCAAAACAAATATTCATGTGAAGATTAACTACGGTAATTAATATTGAATGGCTGTATCTTCTTTCATTTAGGAGGAGAAATAAACAGTTTCAGGATCTACTAAAAGATATATTTGTCTATAGTAAATTAGTTATTTTTTTCAGAAGTTGCTTATTTCAAGGGTTATTGCTTATGAAGCTTTGTTATTACATGTGGCCTAGCAAGCGCAGTTTCCCATTGTGGATAATTAAACAAAATGAGAAACAAAACTTTGCCTGAAATGTTCAGTTCTCACTTGTTGACCAGTCCATAAGAACAAAAAGAAAAACTGCATAATGTGTGGTTGAGAACTATTGATGTGATTTAACGGATATGTGCTGCATAAAGAATCCCGCTCCAAAGCTTAAGTTTCCAACTGAAAGACACACACCCCATAGTGTAAATATGAATTTAAAAAGTTGATCTGCAATCTGAAGAAGCCTTACAACATCCTATCTTTTGTGATTTATTACCGATGAAAGTTTCCTGAAAGTTCCCCACAAGTCAAGAACTAACACTATTAATCAACTTAAGTTTGAAAAACAAAGTCAGCAACAAGAAATTGAGTCATGCGAAAGTGAAATAATTGATTTAGTTCTGTGGTTTACTAGACGCCAAGCAACTTGTTCAATCATTTAAAATTTAAAGTGCCATCAAGTGTCAATTAGAAGATACCCTGGGAAAAAAATTTGTCAAATTAAGCAACTGTCAATGAAGAAGTATCAATTTCACACAGATTAAACATATATACACAAACCTGTCGCCTTGTGCTTCTTGTCCGTGGATTTTCTACAGAAATAGAAGGTTCCTGATCACCATTAGAATTATCTGAGTCAATTGCATCAAGAAGGTCGTCAGCTACTAATTCGTCATCATCATTCCAGACTCTTTGATCGCAGTCTCCTACTCGAACTTTAGTTGGTGGAGATCTGAATGGGTCTAAATGAATCTGAAATTTATTTTTAAAATTTACCTGTATGAGACATTTTCGGGTAAAGGCAATTTATTATTTTGAGCTGATCAAACTTTGAGTAGTTTACCACACGAAACTTGAGTCATTATGTCTATTGGTGACTGTGATAAATAATAAAAAAAATGGTTTAATGAGAAACCTCAGAAAAGATCTGCTGCTCTTGGGAATAAGTCAAGATGAATTTCACTTTAAATATTCAAAAGAGAAAGGAGACGTGGAGAGGATGATAATGACATCTGCTTACTTTTACACTCATTTAAAATACATGGGAGTTTGGGATTAACATTCCATGTTTAACGTCACGTTTTATTGGCAGCAGTAGATAACATGTTTAAAAGCATGCACTTATCTTGGGCAACGGCTCGGATCACTAATGTATATCACGGTGGTTTTAATTTTCCTGTCAAGCCAAAACACACTAGTCAAGGTATTACTAGTATTTCAGAGGTAACCTGACACAAAGGTAATTCCAGTAATTAACTCTAAGCCGACGTTACACCTGCATCAACCCACATCTGTTAAGATTTATCGCTTCCTTGACAGGTAAAACTAAGAAAGTTATTATGCTAAAGAAACAAAATGCCTTAAAAATTAAAATCACGTGCCAAATTAGCTTTTAAAGTCTAGATCTAAAAAGCGCTATTGTATACTGCTGAATCAAAGTGGAAATATTCCGTCATGTGAGATCTTGATAGAACAAAACATTTAAGCTTATTTTTAATCGAATCATAACTTTTCTACGTCCGGTGGGGATACCTTTGTTATGCAACGGAATCGGGTCTTGCAAATCGGGCAGGTATTAGTATTCTGAAATGAAAACATACTTGGCGTTAGTGAGAGCTTTAATAATTGATTTTCATTTATCCATGAATCCAACAAGTGAGATATCCACTGATATTATAAAGTTAAAAACTAAATAAATTCAAAAGAAAAGTCCCGACCTCCGACCACTCCAATATGCATGGAAAACAGAACCAGTGATTGCAGACGCTCAATTTTCCACGACAAACGACCTTTTCCAAACAAATAATACAGTTAGAAGGTTCGTCAGGATGTTTTGAATCTTCAGTTGTAGTTTTGGTGCATTTTCGAGCTTTTGTCGACCGATACATCGCTGTTCTGTTTACGAATTTTACTTTTCAAAATGGCGCGTTTTTCAGGCAAGCAAAATGGCTGGCTAGCTCCGAAATAAATGGCGGGTTTTCATTGGTCAATATTTTAGAGCAATTTTGAGCCAATCACAATTGTTATATGATAGCTATGTGAGAGCCTGGAACGAGACATTTTTGTTGTTATTACCCGCTGACTCGCTTAATCGCTGATATTAGAAGGAAACATTTCATTGAAAACATGGCTGACATTGGCGGTATGATAGCCGCCACAGGCATCGAAAGCCCGAACAAACGGGCGAAAATGGATAGCGGACTGACAGCAACAAACTTCGATGAATCAAAATTTGCCAGATATTACAGAACAGACGCAGCCAGCTCTCCCACAAGCTCGCATTCCGCACCAGTTGTCAGTGATACATCAGCATATTATTCATACCCGTACACGTTCGCGAATTCTTTCTCTTCGTATTCGTATCCTTGTGGACAGCAGACGGACGCAGCAGCTTTGTACACATACCCCGCATCTTATGGCGTTCCCTACAGCACACTGAATGGCTTCAGCACGGAATATTCGCCATCCTCAGGTACTAGTATGCGCTTCCTTTGTAGCTTTTGCGCTGATATCGCTTAATGCGTTACTCGAAAAATCATAAATATTTCAGCTGGCGTACTCAGTTTCAACGTAAAAGCAGGAGTAATGTGTTGTGGAACGTCACTTTGCCGTCATAGAACAGGGGGATTTAAGGTCAGAAAAAGAAATCGTGAGAGGGAATCAGCTATAAAATGTGCGCTGGGGCTGGGCGTGCACGAAATGCATGGTTTAATGTTCTTAGGGCACCATTACCTCTGAGTGTGTCTGCTTCCCTTGTCTGTTGTCTTAATATTGTTGTTAAACTTTGAAATTCATGTATTTTTAAATGACTGTCACGTTTAGTCAATAAACCATGAATGTTGTACCGCTTGGGCTCAAAAACGAATAAACGCCGTCGCCAGCACCGGGCGCATACGAGGAGTGCGTGTTTGAGATCGGCAAGGAAATGTCAATTGAAGGCTGTTATTGTGGCTTGTCAGTTATTTGTGAGCTCAATGACCACGCAATGTCTGGAACGGCTCTTCCTGAAAGAATGAAAGAAGGATATCTTTCAGTGATACTTGAACTGCCAAACAGCTGTACTACAAAAACGCGGAATGCGTCTGTTTATTTTCTGATGATCTGCTTTGTCAGAAGAAATCGCGGCTCGCCTGATGTGCGAATAGTACAAGGTACATTTCTTGAACCTCGCTGATATGAATGGAAATGTTAATGAAGAGGTTTTAGGGCAATATCGTGTTGACTTTCTCGTAGGAGTCGTGCAGGCTTTTCTAGCGATGTTATCGTGAGTTTAAATCTATACGTTAAATTTCGGGTCGCAGCTTCTGACTTGTGAACCACTGTAATTCTATCTTTTCCTAAAATGCGTAACACACTGATAAACGGCATTTTTCCCTGTTGATATTAATTTTCACAGTCATCTGACTTTTGATTAAAATATAAAAGAAACATACATCTTTAGTCATTGGGGCAATTATTGCTAGAGCAGATAATTGTTCGCACTTGCGTTTTCGTTTCGTACTTGGTTTAACACAACGGACCGTGAAATCTTTTGTTAACTTTGACTGATCGGTCAATAACAAAACTCACTGGACCACATCAGCGAGTTTATATTTGGAATCTCGGAAATACATACTTGAATTCATGAATACAAGAATTATTCAAATCAATGAACCGCCAGAGATTTACTCTAATGCCATTTATCTTGGCTCCTGTTTTGGCTGCAAGCATGCCACATCAATACAAATTGTCTTGGATTAGGGGTGCTTAAAATTCTCCCATGGTAACTTATTCAGAATGGAACATTTGATTCTGCCTCATTAAAATTTCTGAAAATCCCTGGAGCAAAAAAAAAAGTTTTTAAGTCTTTGTCTGACTGAGAAAATTCTGGGGATTTTTAACCATGGTAAGCAAAAGAAAATTACTCTGCTTAGTGTGATTTTCCTGAAATGACTTTCTTAATTAAGAGCTCTAAGGAGGAGATAAGAAATATTGTGCCTCACCTCAAAAAAAGTTTGTAAACTGTAAAATTGCTGTATCTAATTTTAGTTGAAGTAGATCCCTGTGACACATTTTTTCAGCTAACTATAAAAATAAATATTGCTTTAATTCATATTTTTTAGTTACATGCAAAGTATTAAACTTGCACCCCAAAGGACTCCAAGAAAATTTCTAGTCATTTTTATAATGATTACTTATTTTGAATTCTCAATATAATTCTATGACCACAAGGAATGTACTTTGAAAACAATGTTGTATTAAAATAGGTATTGTCAGACTTGCTTGGGGCTGATTTAACAAAGCTCGGGGCAGTTGTAGTCATTCCATCCTAGAAACACTTGCTGAGTGTGTGGGATATGACAACCAAAGGCATTACTTAATAATCGAATGCCTTCTGACCAATGGGATGCTAGTTTTCTTCAGACTGTACCAAATTTGCATTGGCTCTAGACTTTCATTTGTTCAGAAATGTTATTTGCTTATATTTCTTGGCCAGAAAATCAATATTCTGTCATTTAGAAGCATCTATTAGGCAAACTAAAAAATGCATAATCCCTTTGAACACTGCAGACCTCCCTGGTTAGAAGACATTTGAGAAAAAAAAATCACTTTTTTTTGTGTGGAAAGTAAAGTGAGCTTTGTCAGTTTATACAGTGTAGAACATGTAGCTTCCCTTTGTATTCAGCCATACGCACAATGTCTTTTATAAGATCAGGCTATCAATAAATTTGTGATGACCTATGGAAAAATTGTCTAAATCACATATCGGTGGCCTGGGTGTGTAGTACAGGTGTTGCCAATTTTGTTCAATTATTTTTATCATAGTGTACTTCTCAACTATTACTTCAAATATCTTTCAATCTGTAAAATGACTGCAAGTTACCTAGAATGTTGTATGTAGCATAACAAATACAGTAGAATTTGACTATTTTTGGCGCTGTCCAGCTCGGCTGACTGCTTTTATTTCTTCTTCCCTCTCTCTGTTCCTTTATGTTATTAAGTATTATTTATATTTTTTGAGATTTTTTTACAAAATTGTAATTTTGAAAAAATAATTGCACATGATAGAAATTGCACTTGTTTCTCTTAACATCCTGCTTCTAAAAGCTACTTGTGTGTCTAGTAAGTCGAGAAGCACTGTAAATTAATATGTCAGTTAAATATTTCCAAGGTTTGTCTTAATTCTTTGCAAAGGCATATCGTTTTGTAGACAAAACTTTGGCTGTAAAAATTGATTGCTTTTTGGGGCAGATGTTCTGCAAAGATGATTCTCAAAAATGTCATGGTTTGATTTATAACCCCCTGATTGTTCATGTGTCACCCTAAGCAGACATTGGGTGAAAAATGAAAATGTACTGAATTTATGTTTAATTTCAAATGGCCTCGGGCAGAAAAACATGCTTAAGAAGTAATGTGAATTTTTTTTTCTTTTGCTGTACATTGCTTAAAATTTAATGTTCTCCCATGGCCTGCAGAGATTTTGGATGCTATGTAGAGGTGTTGTGAGGTCTGGAGACTGAATCACAATACAAGCTCCCAGCTGCATACAATAGTATATAGACCTGAATGGAAAGGCTTAATTACAAATACTGAAATTCTAAAATATTGTTGGCTCCTTTCCAGCAGAAAACATTTGCTTTCCTCTTCTAGAATCATTACTTTTCTAGCATAACTTGTACTTGATTAATCCGAAGACTTTTCAGTCTCATTCCATTGCTTTCACAGATTTGTTTGGGTTTTTAATTTGTGGTTTTAGCTGAGATAAATGTGGCAGGCAAGATCTCTTTGCATTTAGTTTCCATCATTTGAGCTCATGCATTCATTAATAATTGTACTCGTTATTTATTTTCAGGTTATTCATTATCTCCCAGTTCTTCAGTTTCTACGTTGGCATCAAACTCAAGCCTCACTCTTCCACAGTCATTATCTCTAAATTCTACAGCACATCACAATACGCCTCCTTCGCGTGTCATTCACTGTCGAGCAGTTGCAGATGGTTGTAAAGAAACAGACTTAATAAACGTTCTTCAGCCTTTCGGGAAAATTACGTAAGTATGAAAACCTTTGATTGAGGATACAAGCATAATACTAGATTTCTTGAGAGTTAAACTGTAATGAAAATTTGGCTTCCTAGATTTTCTCTCTCTTGCATTTAAAGGTGCTCTCGGAAAATAAAAATAAAATAAAATAGGGAAGACTGCACAGAGATTTTCATTGCAGCTGAATTCTTGTCATTTATTCAATATATGCACTTCCTATCATGTTTTATTAAACTTTCAAGCTACATTTAGACTTGGGTTCTGGGCCATGAAATTGTACCCCTCCCCTAGATATACTACAGTGCTCGATCAAAATTTCAATCTTGTTGTTGATTGAAACACTGTTCTTTTAAAATTAGTTCTGGCAATTTGATGGTTCTCCAAGACAAATACCCTCAGTGGGCAATTTCCTTTATTCTCGTCACTCATCTGCTTGAGAATGTATCAATATTGTTGGGGGAATTGCAATATTGATCAACTTTGAAGTTGTGGGTCAATACCACTGATACATGTATCTTTAAATGGGAAAATGCACATGAGAGGTTTCCTGTAAAATACTGCCCAGACAAATTCCTCTTCAGATACAGATGACATGAAGAAGATGAGAAAAGTCTGTCAGAAAAAACAAAGGAAAAAAAAACGTGATTACTGTTGCAGAAGTGTTTTCACAACTCAAGGAGGTTACGTTATATTAATTACTTGGGGGCAAATATTGTGCCTTGGAGGGGCACTCAGATGTATTGTAATCATGGATAAATTTATGAGTTCATGTAGGTTAAAATGTCCTCCACCTTAGGCAAAATGAAAATGGTATCATCAGGGAATTTTAAAAGCTTTGGGAATAATTCACTGCCAAAGGCCTCAAAAGAAGAGTGGAAAAAAAAAATCAATCAATCAAAGCCAAAAACATTTCAATTTATTGCCACAGCACCTTGGATAGTTTGTAGATTTTCATAATGCTAGAATAATTTGAATAATACAGTCACATGTACACATGTATACGTCCAAATTATAGGTACATGTAATAACTTTTAGAAGTGATTGATAGTCTTGAGTTCTCTGCATTGCTGTGCAGTAAAACATTTCTGTATGCAGTACAAGACATTCCTGATTTATCAAGAAAACAAGAAAATAACAAAATGTGCTAAACATATATTGTCCTTTGACACCAGCTTAATAATAGTGTATGTAAGGTCAAGCAAATTAACATTAAATGCTCATAATTTTCACCTTTTTTGATATTAAGGTTTCGCCCTGTTAAATAATATCTTACAAGAGAGGAACACTGCTCAAAATTGGAAAAAAAAATGCCAAAATTTCCATTCAATGTATTGTTTCCTCCCTTTATCTGTCATTCCATCAGTTCCTAATTTTTTTCATGTAGCCAAACATGTTTTATAGAATTACACTGAGAAACCATGGGAATGGCATTGCTGTGCCACTCACAACAGCCTTTTGTTTTTGCAGGATTTTTAAGCAACATCATCTGCAGACATTTTAAGAGCATTCTTTTTAAAAATGTGAATAAATTTTTAATTACCTTTAACTCAAAAAGTTATTGAGTTGTCACATTTATTTTGCATTTCTGTTTTACCGACTTAACCTTTGACCCCATAATGCTTTTAGCTGCAACAAAATTCAGTTAATGCTATTTTAGGCTTAAAGTTTCTCGCAGTTAGGTTAAACTTCACAGCTGTCTTTCTCAGTTTTATTACTATCAAGTTTTACAAACTAAAACTATTTGTTTATTTGCTTATGTACATTGTATAGTTTTCTCATAAAATCAAACATTCCAAGCTGACAGATCTTAATGGTTTTCTTATTGTGTTGCAGATTGTTATCTGTTCATGTGCAGCAATTTGCATCAATACATTTCAAAAATATTAGTTAATATTAGATCCAGCAGTTGATTGATTCTTGTGTATGGATGGAATGATTGCCGTCTGTAGTATACGTGTACATGTATGTTCAAGCTTCTAGAGTTTAACACACTTGTAGATAATTCACCCACAGAAGGACAACTATCTCAATTATCCAAAAAGTGAACATGCATCATCTTGAAGGTACACATTGAAATAAACACCCAAAGATTTGATCCCCCCCNACGATGTGTAAACTTGATATGGTGCATTACTGTCAAACTGATGGACAATTTAGCAGGTCTTTTGTCCTCAGAGCATAAAGTGGCAATGCTCCAACACCTTGATTTGTCATTTTGTTTTAGTCTTGAAAATTCTGTAAAAATCACGATGCTTGGATTTTGTAACAGAATACGGCTTGCAGATGGCTACATGTTGATTTCAAGATAAAATTCTTAACCGTAAAAGGTCATGTCACTGCTTTGTTTTTAACATAATTAGACTTGTGAGCATAATTTTTTAGGGTTAAGACAATGACTAATTCTTTTTATAGCCGATTTGTTTGTTTCCTTTGCTTGGCCATTTTTGGATTGGCATTCCATTAAGTATTACATCATTGACGTTCTTCCTGTAGGTGTGGCTGATAAAATAACAGTTATTTTTTGTTGAATTGTAAAATGTTGTTGTCTGGTTTTAAATGTACACATGCACATCATAGAAAGTGCAACAGTGTTAAATATTCTTTGTAGTTAATAATTTTAACTTACTAAAAATATTATCAGAAAGTATTTAACTTTACAAGGGTAAATGAAAGGTTGAATTCTTAATGCAGATTACATTGCCAATTCCTCGTATTTTGACCCTGTACTCGATGATCAAAAGTTCCGCTTCACTGGCTTCTCTGTGGCCGGAAATAGTGAGCTGCCAGTCAGGCTGGCAAAACTGTTAAATGCTCGTAAGAATGTTAGCTTTCTCTGATCGGTTTAGAATAATCTTACAGTTTAATTGTCAGCATGTTCTACACTATTGAAGAAGGATGACATAAAAAGGAGGTCTCAATTACGATTTAATTGAGTTTGATCTTTGATTCCGTATGTTGAATTTGCACTCTATAGGGTGCATAATTTGACTTGAGAGTAAAGTACGTTGTGCATTTTAATTATTTACATTACACTGTACACTTTGATCTGTGGCCAAGTTAAGTCTGGCGACATGCTAGAAAGTGAAATAACACGGTCATGCAATAATATTTTACTGGCAGGTATTTTTGACCATATCCAATGCCGGAACTTATTGAGTTATGATACAGGAGAAAGTCCATCCCTCCTGTCGTATTTGAGGTTCAGGAACAGGAATTTGCCATTTATGGCGTCTAAGAACAAGACTATTACCTTTGATTCAGAAGTAATTGAGCAAAATTGTTTGGAATGTGGAAATAAATGATTTTGCTTTTTTTCCATCTTGATCGAGTGTAATTAAAAGCCTTTGAATAACAAGTTTGAACATAATAGTTATATTAAATAATAACAAGTTTGAACACAATAGTTATATTAAATAAATAAATTAAAATTCTAGTTGTTATTAGAGATATGAAGTGCAGTATCTCAAAGGTGTGCATCTATACTAAACATGCTATATTTTGGCAAACCTATTGTGTGAGTCAAAATATACAGTGGATTCCCGATTTTTTGAACCTCCAAGTGAATCTAAAATTGATTTGAAAAGTCAGATTGTGTGGGAAATCTGGGGTAAAATTACAGTGTTGGACTGAGAGTAGGGAAGCGACTTTTGATTCAACTAAGTTATTGGGAGGTAGGTTTCCACTGTTTGCTGTTAATTAAATGATGTCACAGGGAAGCTAGACAAGATTTTATACACAAGAATGTTTGAAAGCAGTTTCTGAAATTGTTTTCCCATGCAATCTGGACTTTGAACCAAGGGTCAAGGACACTTGACTGTACAACACTAGTACAAATATATATGATTATAGAGTTCCAAAACAATTAAAGTTACACAGTTGCAGTCTTTATGTGTACTTGTTTCATTATACACTGTACTCTGCCATAGGGATGTCATAATTGCTTGCACAAGTAAGTTAGCTTCACCTTCATTACCTTCATCTTCACACCTGTAACAAACTTGTTGCTTTGTGGGTTAATTTATGAAGGCCCATGTATGCCATGTGTGATGCCAACATGAATGAGTGAACAACATGAAATTGCATTATGAATTTCTGACCATAAAATACTAGAGCTGCCATTGATTTAAAATTAATACAGTGGAATCCTGATTTCTCAAACCCTTATTTTTTCGAACCTGCCGATAACTCGAACCAGAAGTTGTTTCCCTCTTCTCAGTCAAACAATGTGATTTTACCCCTGATTTCTCGAACTATTCGATTTTTTGAACCAATTTTTGCTTCCCTTGGAGTTTCAAAAAATCGAGATTCCACTGTATATCTGCGGAGTGTACAGCAATCAATCTCTTTATTGGCCAACTGAGCAGTTTTCATAACCACATCCCAATCAATGGCAAAACTCGAAACACGTGATAAAACTATTTGTTCAAAACATGTGGATTCATCTATGATAACTGTAAATGCACAGTGAACCCAAGCAACAGATTAACGTTGATACTTAACATCAGGGTCCCATAGAGGTATACTCAGCCGTAACAGGTATTACAGGTTGTGGCCCTAAATGACTGCCCAGTACTGTTATTATGTGCTTCTTACTCCAGATCTAGATCTCCTGTACTTTGTTAGGTATAATGTTTTTGAATTTTTTAGTAAACAATAATAGTAATTAAAAAAAAAGTTATTAATAAACAATTATATATTATGGCCTACCTGTATTGATTTTCTGTATTTTAATCTGTCCGCTTGTCAACTCTCATACCATGAGGAAAACTAATTGTTCAACAGTTTAGGAATCATTGTCTTGTGGGGCTTTCTTAAAGAGTGGACTTCATTGCAACAGTTTTGCCCCAGGTCCCCTGCAACTTTACCACTGATTGTCATGTGATTAAAATGTTCTAAGTTTTTTTAATAGGCTGTATGTATTTTCATTTTCCCATACAGATATGTGACATTATTGCCAAAAATTAGACAAGCACTGGTGGAATTTGAAGTAAGTTAACATGATTGCTATGTTAGTTACACAAATTAACATATTTAATACGAAATGCATTGTTAGGAATCTCTTGTTTTGTGTCGTGGGGTGAAATCATGTAAGAGCCTGTGTATAAAATACTGACAATTATGGTATAGTTATTGTTTTTGACTATTACATATCATTCTTGAAAATGAAAATGACTAAAAAATATTAAAATTTCATGGCTGCAGTAGATATAGCTTTGTGCACAAAGAAGCCATATATTTTAAAACGTTTTTCTTACATCAGTGTAATTTAGTGCTCAAAACTTGTAAAAAGTCGAAATTTGTGGCAAAGTTACTGGAACCAGGGCTGTCGATAACGGTCGCAACCCATAACACCTGCTGCGGCTGAGTATGTTTGATACTGTGGGCCCTTGATGTTGTGGGTGAACATGCCTGTTCTTGATACAATTCACCCATAAATCAACGTGTTTGTTATATGTATGAGATCAAGGCTACAGGAGACTCAAAACTTAATGACAGTCCAGGGAACTATGGCTGAAATTTGTTTCTCAAATTGTGGCTTACATTTTCGATGTTGAAAACTGATATTTAGACTTGGTGGTTATGTTAATTTCTTTCTAAATAGCCTAACAAATATCTAGGCATCTGTCCAAAGCATTGTAGGGTCCAAGACTTATTTAAGGTGCCTGCTTGAGTTCAGGTATCTGTCAAAGGACTGGCAACAGCCTAATGTCACCACCAGCAACCATACGTATCTGCCAAGTTTAGTGTGTCCTAGATGCATGTTATGAGCATGTCTCAATATTGCTTTTGGGTCTAAAGCATAATTTTATCCATTATGTTTGTCAAAACTTAATTTCCTGTGCCTGGCTCAAAGTTCTGGGCTAACCAACTTGAAGCATTTGTAAGGAAAATATGTAGATTTTAAGTCTGGTTGAAGGAAGATTTAGTTATAGTTGCTGTATTGGCAAAATGTGGTTATGGAGAATTCCCAGCACCAAGACTATCAGGGGTGTCATCAAGGGGTGTCATCAAGGGCTGTGCACTGGGCAAATTGACCAGCTTTGAGGCTGATTTTGCCTCCTTAGTTTGGAGAAAGGTTTTTCTTATAAAGCAGTGTGATTCAATAAGTTTTGCTTGCCTGTGAATATCAATTGCCAGAAATCCTGCTGCTTAGTTTCCTGTGTGATAAATGCTGAAAACGTCACTGAAACTTCTCAGACTTGTGAAATTTAACTACCAAAGTGTAATGTCTTATAGTGCATGTCAGCAGATCTAAAGTGTGCTGTGTTAAGATCCTAGCACTTCTATAATCTTGAATCACTCTGCATTTGCATTTAAAGAAATGTTTAATTATTACTGGAGAAAAACATGCCTTTTTTCCTTTCACTTTTGCAGGATATTGAATCTCCCATAGCTCTAGTATCATTCTCACAGGTAAGATACACCTGGCACCTGTACATATATATTAAGAGTTGCCTCCATTTGGTGCGGAAATATGCTCGGATATTTGTCCATTGACATTAATTGTCTGTTCCAAGAAGCGAACAGTTTTCCAAGAGCATAGCTCGAGGAAAATTGTGAGCTTTGAGGAATAGATAATGTCCAAGGACAAATATCCAAGCATACATCTGAGAATTCTCAGGCCAAATGGAGGCTATTGTGTTTATTATCCTTCAAATGTTTTTCGCAACACATGTGGTTTTGAAAATTGGGGAATATTACTTGGATAGTCCCTGGGGAATATTCAGTCAGGTGATGCGTTTAGACCAATTGCGCCTGAGCGAAAATATTTGCTGGATTTTAATGTTTGATACATGTATATTACTTTCTTATTGACCTCAATTTCCTGGTGTATTGTGTAGTTCCAGAAAATATCCATACCCCCCTCAGAAGGGATTTTTTCTAACACCTTCCCACCCCTCTGGAAATTCCAGCTAAGCTTCCTACATATCTTTAAATTTTTTGATCTTCCAGAACCCCCCACCCCCCAGGAAATTCCAATCCCTTCTGTGGGGGGAGTATGGATATTTTCTTGAACTGCATATTTTAATATGCTGTTGCAGTTAATAGTCTGGTGCTTCTCTCATATTTGGCCTTTATCAAAGTCCAAATGATATTCGTCATGCTGTTACCCATGTTCATATTTATTTAATAGTTAATTTTGAATATTATGTTTTTGTTTTATTTTCAGTCAAATACACTCACTGTTCTCGGTAGACAAATGTTCGTGAATTACTCAAAAAGTCAAGAAATAAAAAGGTATGCAGACGTACATGTACAGATAAATTTGCACATGCATGCCACCAGTTAGGAATAGGCCCTTTGCACGATCCGGTCACATGGTACAAAATCACACATGCTGGTGAGCAAGTTGCACAGTGGAACTTCCAAAACAATGCAACTCGTACCAGTCCACTTGGACCTGCCGTTGTTTTGGAAGTCCCACTGCGCAACTTGATCACCAGCATGTGTGATTTTGTACGATGTGACCGGATTGTGCAAAGGGTCTATTATCTAGTTTATAGAAAAAGGCATTCCAATTCAACTCAAACTTGCAGATGTTTCTACAATCTTGGACAGAATAAAATGGAACAATTATCCCCCATCCCCCCCAAAGCAATGATGAAGGCGCGAAGGAGCAAAAGCGCGCCATTTTGGCATCATTGAAATGGGGGGAGGGGTGGTCCAGATGTTCCATTTATTTTGTCCAAGATTGTAGCAATGGAGTATTACAGATAAGGGAATGAGGCGGGAATAAAAAATAGAGGATGGGGAATAAGTGGCCCAAAGATAGGTAACGCTTAAATCTGTACATGAGCCAAGCGGCTCATCAGGCTGGTGCTTATCCTGGTTACTGTAGCATGAAGTGACTAGGAGTATTTCAGTCTACTCTTCCCTGGAGGGGATGCTAGTCCATTGTAGGATTACACCCAGCATCAAGTTCGTCACCACCCATTTATACACCTGGGTGGAGAGAGGCATGTGAGAGTTAAAGTTCTCGCCCAAGAACACAACACAATGTCCCCAGCCAGGGGTCAAACCCAGTCTGCTCGATCCGGCATGGAGTGCACTGACCATGAGGCCACCGCTCCTCCACAGTGGCCCAATGACACCCATCCCTTAGTCTCTTCTCGCCGTGATTTTTGACTTGTTTCCTCTTATTAAATAATCATAACTGCTTATCATTGTGATCGACTACTCTCTAATTGATTTACAATAGATGAAACATTAATTTTTTGTTTTGCATTTTTTTTTTTTTTTTTTCCTGTCAGGGATAAAGTTCTTAATGGTGACAGTAATGGAGCTTGTTCTGAAGCTAGTAATATTCTCCTTCTTACAATAATCAATCCTTTACATCCAATCACAGTGGTGAGTACTGGAGACCATTTTCATATGAGTGCCTGAAAACCAAAACATATAAGTCACAACTGGCCACTGACTTCAAATGCAAACAGCAAAGTGAACAAATCAAGAGCTTGAAGCAAAAACATGCAAAGTCCTATAGGTGCCAAACAACAAAAGGCCTTAACAAAGTCATCAGATGAAAAATTGGGTTTGGTTTTGTTCTTGATTAGTCAGAGGTTTTCTGCATTACTTCTTGCACCAATGATAGATAGAGCTACCGTAAGTGAATGCATACCCATAGCTAACACATGAATTTAGATCTTGCAAGCAATAACCCTTACTGTGTAATCCATCGCTTAAGTCAATACAATGGTAAAGAAAATGGCCCTTAGCCTGTTAGCCCATGACTAGTGGATTTCCCAGTTGTCTAGTAAACTGTATTTTTTCACCCTCTTGATATGTCATGCAGAAATTTTTTTTTTTTTTGGGGGGGGGTGTTCTAGTGTTCTAGTGGGGCCAGAATTGAAAGATTCAAATGGTGTAAAATACTTTCAACTTAATATCGTATGCTAACTATGCAAGGGAGTTTTGTACTTGTTTCCATTCCTGCATTTTTTTTGAGTCAAGTAAGCTGGAAATAAAATCAAATTTTGTCACAACCTCTTAAGATGCCATTCTGAAATTGTGCAGGGAACTGGGGCCAGTTTCAAATTTTAACCAATCTGTAAACTGACACCTCCACAGGAAAGATTGCATTGAGAGTAGTCATTTGACCTAGTTTGATGCCTACAGGGTGAACAGAGACCAAGTTATAGACCTTGAAACATGGTTCAAAATCCATACAAACGTCCCTTAATGTTGAGACAGCATCCCCCAAAACCATATAATCTCTTAAAATTTTTTGTCAGTTTTGTGACAACTGTGAAATCTAGTCATTCACCTACCATTTGAAAGAAGCTGAGATGAAAATCACATATGTTTGCCCATTTTTAAGAGTATCACAGAAATCATAAAAGATTTTAAGAGTTTAATCATAGTTAGTAGAGGGGACAGGTTATGACGCCCGGCAAACATCAAAGGAGCAAACAAAGATGACAAGATTTATGTTGGAAGGTCCATGACTGTACACAATCTTTTGTTTTGCACTCATCCACAATGCATGAATTACGTAACCAGCACGTTTCTATTGGCTAGTTCCTTGGTACAGAGTAAACAACTATTGTGTTTTGTGCACGGTTAAGGCCAAAAAAGTGAACAAAAACGTACAGCAAAGAACTTTGTTGGGTTTCATAGCCATTCCCCTCTATTAAATATGGTTTAATATACGGTTTTGGGGGACACTGTCTCAACATTAGAGACATTTGTATGGATTTTGAACCATGTTTCAAGGTCTATAACTTGGTCTCTGTTCACCCCTAAAAGCATCACACTTAGTCAAATGACTAATCTCAACGCAATCTTTCATGTGGCAGTGCCAGTTTATCGATCAGGTAAAATTTGAAACCCACCCCAGTTCCCTGCACTATTTCGGAATGGCCTATAGACTGTCGCATACTGCAGTACATTGCCATTAATATTTGGTCACCTAATGATAATCAGTTGATTCTATGAAAAACCAACAAACTAAGATGTCATTTATTAGAATACACATGTGATGAACATTTGAACAGCATACTCGGAAACATCCTTGTCATTTCCACTCCTTGATTATGTAATCAAACCAATAATGACTAGAATAACCTGCAAACCAAAAGTTCAAAACAATTTGATATGAATAAGTGGCTCAGGATTTCCACCTTACTGACAATAAACAAAGTGACACTATGTGCCAATTATTTATTGAGTAGAATTAATTTGAATGCTCTGATTGACAGGTGGTTGTAGTGTCAATAATTAACTCTGTTTACAATTAAAACACCTGAGGGCAGAAATGGCTTAATTAGTTATCAGAGAATGCTAGGCTTACATGTAGAATCTCTTGAGATGTTTTGTCTCTCTCAATTAGGCTCTGTAATTTGACACTTGTGTTTAACTATACTCTTTGCCCATAAAAGTAAGAAAACTGTCTTGTAGCAAATGAATACTCCATTCAATTATTTGAAGAAAATTTCAATTAAGGTTTAAAGGTTTCCAATTATATATCTGATGTTATTAACAATTTGCATTATAATGAAGGCTTACAGTTCCAGGCATTATGCATTTGCGGCAAGCAGATTAATTTTACTTGTAAACAAAGTATTTTCAGTGTTTCATAATACATGCATCTCAAAGAAATTATGTCGGCTAGTGTTTGACAGTTGAAAATTGCAATTTGTGACAGTTTTGGCATGAGCTTAAAGCAATTATGATAACTATTATTTACATTGTTTCAACTGAGTATACAGTAACACTGCTATTTCTTAAAACAATTTCAGTTTTCAGATTTGGTCTCTATTGTATGCTTAAAGAATGCCTAATTTATTTTTTCTCTGTTTTCTTTTGCAGAAAGTGCTTCATAAAATATGTAGCCCCCATGGGAAAGTGTTGAGAATTGTGATTTTTCACAAAAACGGATTACAAGCTTTGGTTGAATATCCTTTCAAACATATTTTTAAAATTATAATGTAAAACTTAAGTCCCTTTTTCTGAACTTTTACATGGAAGATTTAAATAAATCCTCCAAGACCTGATCTCAACATGGATATTCTCATTACTAGTTCCCTCCCATTTCTCATATTAGTAATTGGAAGAATATAATCATGATGATTATTTTGCCATGTGTTCTGAAGACCTTTGTGCTTCAGTTTACTTCATATTGATATTTACGGAGGGATAAGATGTTCATCAGTGTTGAGGTTTGTTCAGGATCAAGAACTGCTGTTGAAAATATTTCGGGGATCTTTGAGGATCCTCAAATGTATGTTTTTGAGGACCTTTGTAGCTCTTTATCTGCAATCCCCTCAAGATCTTCTGGGTCCTTATAGGAACCCACGCGGCTTTCAATCTGTGGCCACTGGAGTAACCAAAATTCGTGCCGTGGAAGGGATAATTAAAGATCTTGCAACAATTCCTTAAAAATCGGTAAGGTTCTTGCAAGATCCCTAAGAGTTCCTACTAAGAATTTATTCCAAGATCCTGATAAAATCCTCATCAAATTTTTGAGGATCTTTAAGGATCCTTGTAATGATTCCAACACTTAAGACAAGTAATGTCTTGTTTTGTCTTGTGACTGGGGTGAAACTCTTTCCTTGACAGTCATTACATTTGACAATGTCGAAGCAGCACAGCGAGCTCTTGCAACACTCAATGGACAAGATATATACGCTGGATGCTGTACTTTGAAGATTGACTATTCAAAGGTAGGAACTGAGTTATCTGCTTATACCTGCATCTTGCAGTGATGCACAAATTGCATCATATGACATAGCTCAATGCTACATTTAAACATTGCCCTTCTGAACAAGAATGCGTTCTCAATAGAACACGTTCTTGTTCAGAACACGCTCCAGCTCGCCAGAAATTTTGGCGTTCCCGCAGCGTTCTATTTCGCGTTCCATTTGCGTTCCAATAACGTGTTCCCTGTTAGGTTACTTCTGTCCAGTACTGTACATTTAAACATTCTTCAAAATCCTACACCAGTTTATGTCTTTTTCAACAACCATAAGTAAGTTTTAGGCTAATGACTTATATGGAACAAGTTGTTCATGTACCTGTTGTAAGTGTAAGACCTATCTTGCAGAAACAATTGATGGTGATTGTTTTGTATATTAAAGACATAATTGTAAAAATAAATTAAACTAGTTACCATTTTAGCAAAAATGAAAAGGTGCCAATGAATTGATCAGTGAGTACGTACAAGGTTTTTGTCTACTGTAGCCTCTATCAGTAATGTCGTCCACTAATATCCTTGAAATGGTTTGTTTTATTTTCAGAAAGCGAAAAAGTTAAATGTTTTTAAAAATGATGATGAAACATGGGATTACACTGGAGCACTTAGCAACAACTCAGGTCTGTGATGACAACTTCACATTACATGTATACAAATGCTGAGGCCTGGAATTAACCCACACCAACCCAGGACCAGGCACTGGGGCAGACTTGTTGTGACTTTAGATTTTTTTTATGAATCAGTGGCCACTGACTGCACTCAGGAGCCAATAAATTGATAAATCTGTTAGCCTATGTTTACCGTACAGTACTAACATTTTGAATGTGTAATAGTAGTTTCGCATGTCATTACAACTCAGAGAACTCATATTTTTGAGTTTGGGAAAAGCTCTCTCTTTGTCTTCTGAGATCAGTTGTAATGGTGATATACAGAAAAGCTAGCATTAGGAGTTGATATCCTGTCATCTCAACCTTTTTCCAGTTGTAGGGTAATAAAGAGCATCAGTATCACCCAACTTAAGTGGACTAACGCAGATTCTGCATTTTAATTGGCTACTCTAATAGAGGTCCTCGAGTAGAGAAATTGGTGCAATCGAGCATGACGCTTTCTTTCGTTTTGTTCCCAAATAAATATTTCTTCAACTTGCATTTGCTAACTTTATTATTGCCTTTTCTGTCCGACTAGTTGGGTGATACTAAAAAAATTAGACCTGTAGCCCTTGCAGGCTATGGGTCTAATTGTTAAATAGTGCAAAACCCCACATCAAAGAAATATCAAGAAAACCCTATGCATTGTAATTTGTTGTAACTCAAGCTTTCACCACACCTGATGTTTCTTTTGCTTATAAATGCGTGGTTAGAGATTTAAATACACTCTGCTCTAACTTGAGAGGTGGCACATTCATCTGTAATTATGATACTAAAGATGTATTGATTATTTTTTTAATTTTGCAGGGATTCCAAGTAAGACAGCTCTTTTGGGTTCTGGCCTTTTGTCTGCAATATCAGGTTAGTTTTAATTTATTTGTACTTTGTCCTAACTGGTATACATACAGAGAGGCTCTGTTAGTGTACATATTGGACAACATGACTTATGACACAACTTATAACAGCAATTTGAGGACCATTCAAATTGCAACATGACTAGTTTTGAGATTCAGACTAGAGATTAGCAATACTTTTAGCTACCACGCAGTCATTTGAATCACTGCACATTCACATAAGTAGAAATGTGTATCAGCCAACTGCTTGGGCTATGCAAGGGAAAATTCTGAGGAGTTACCTACACAGGGCTCAAAGAAAGTGCCATCAGGTCGTCCAGGACAAGTAGATTTTCCTGCTGGTCAATTACCTTTTCATTCTCATTTGCCTGATGGGCAAAGACCCAGGCAAGTCCTCTACCAACTAAACCAAAAGAAATGTCAACTACGTCTTGCCCAGGGCAAGCATAGTTTGAGAGCTGCTTGTCTGAAGGGCAAGCTGGAATTCACGTTTTTCAAGCCCTGCCACAGTTGACTAGCATCCCATGCTCAGCGAGTTAAGCCCCAGCATTCACAAGCCCATTTTCTTAACTTGATGTCTCTCTGTAAGGTTAATACATAAATATGTATGTAGTAATAAACAAAACTAATTAAAACCAAATTGATTGATTCCAGGAAATGATGCAAGTGAATCACAGTTGTCAAGCTCACCACCTAACAACATTTCCCTAAATGGAAATATGAGTGAGTATTTAACAAAAGTGGAACAACAACAAATTATTAATGCTATGCAATGATCATGTTATTGTTTTCTTTCGCAATGCNACCTTACCTGTTTTGTTGAACTGGTCAACAATGGGTGAAGGCGAGTATTCCCTGTATTTCGGATACATGCCTTTAATTTTAATGTTGTACCCAGGCCAGTATAAGACACCACTTTTTCCCTTTTGCTTTTGGTTTGTCACCCATATTGGTTCCGCACCATTCCACCATCGCGGATCCGTTTGAGCGGCACCAAATCGGGCTTTGAGGACCAGATCGTACATGGTGTTACTTATAATGCTGTGGCTTTCGGGATAGAGGCCCGTTACAATGCTGTAGTGTCCCGATCAAGTTCCTCACAAACAAGTTTGGCGCTGCCATGGTACAAATGTCAGATAAAGTGGCTTCTGAGATGATCATCAGGAACTTGAGTGGCGCCATTCTCTTCGATTCCAAGATTAACATCATGTAAGTTTGTCTTGAACTGTGCACTCCATAAGTGGAAATTAGCGACTTCTCGTCTCCTTGTATCGTAAGCTTTCGAACTAGTTTTGAGGTATTGTCAGATGAGCCTAGAATTCGTGTACTCTCTGCACCGGGCATGCCCTCGGTTTAATTTTCACGTTACTTTGGCTAAAGTGACTTTTTAACGAGTGAAAGAACGATTAAGTTTTGGTAGTTTTCAGAATGTTTAATGTTCCAAAATCATGGGACTGTTGTAAAACAAAGCCCAACAATATCACAGAGCAAATTACCACACCTGCAAATATCTCGCCGGTTATAAACCAGCCCCAACTCGAAACGATAACATGTGGCTAGTAGAAAGAGCGGGAAAACGCGCCTCATCTAAGCCAATCATATCTCGAAACGGAAACACAGGACTGGTAAAAAGAGCGGGAAAACGCGCTTTATGTAAACCGCGTTTCTCTTTGGTTTTGCCTTTCATTGGCCGAAAAAGCGACAGCTTTGCCATGATTGGTCAATCATAGATGCGCTCAAAATTTATTCTTACGATATCAACACTCTGGCTACGCAACAAGTTATGAGAAACGTGAAAAGACAAAAAAATTAGGGAACTAACAGAAAAAATATGCTAATTAAAGAAATAAGCCAGTGAAGAATTACTGTTCAAGTAACAATCGCGTTCCTCGCAGGTTTTCCAAGCACCCGTTCATAACAGATTCCTCGGTAGTCACAGCTTTACCCGATGGCTCGCCGTCGTCTATGAACTTTGCTGACAACAGAAACAACCGCTTCAAGTAGTAAGTGCGAAGAAATTTGTTGCTTGAGTCAAATTAGGTTTGTTTTGTAAGAAAAAGCTTTCTTTTGCGTCTTTCTATCCGAGAAGGAATGGTGTTGTTTTGTCTTATAGACGTTTTTCTTGTGAACAGATATGTAAACAGGAGTTGGTTGTTGACTTAAAGTGTTATTATTTCAGTGTTACTGTGACAAGTCAGAAAGCATTTAAAGAGATTTCGTAAGATAANCCAAATTTTCCATAAACTATTATGTTTAAATGCTCTTGGGAGGTCTGCATGTTCCCGAGAGCATTTTACAACAATAGTTTATGCAAAATTTGGAGGGCAAACAGAGTGAATTATGGGGAATTAGAAAATAGAGAATTGACATCAGTTCTGAAAGAACAATCTACTTATATTTTGGGAGGGGCTATTATCGAAAGGTTTTGGGTATTTTCAAATATGGTGGGCTTAGGGAAGCATCTTTGGGGAGGTTTATCACAAGTACGTTTGGTAACTCATGTTTATTTTCGTCAGGAGGAGGTTCCTATACCCTGAAGCTAGCCTTCTCCCCAAGCTCCTCAATATCTCCTACGGCTCCAACCGTTGCTCCCGCTGTTGCCGCAGCAGCGGTTGCCGTCAGCAATGGTGCCAATCCTTTGGGTCCCATTGGCTCCCCTGTGCACCCAAGATGCATGGCGGGAAGTCCTATCAGTATTGTGACCAACGGCGTCAAGGAATTGAACGGCGACGCGGAAAGGAATGGGCTGAGTCCGGAGCACCTGACTGGTTCCAGTCCCTAGGGAGGGAGAGTAGTACAAAGTTTGAGCCAAAGGTGAACAGTTACAGCAGTCACATAAAAGAATGGAAAATACTTCAAGTAATTACAGGGATAATGACACCACTGGAAAGCAATCTTCCAGGTGATGAATATTACTTAATAACAAAAATTTAGTGTCATCTTGACGCTGTATAGCAGAATAAACTAGTTTATTATTAGGTCGTTGTAAAAATCGTGAAAGGTTGTACCCACCATTCACCGAATCTGTTAGGTTTTTGCTCTTTCGTAACAATTTATATTAAGCATGCATGGAAATACCAGCGGCAAAGTTAGTTTGTGCACTTTTCAGGTTCATGCTTGGGGTTTTAATAGTTTGGTTAGGTTAATGGTATTTCAAGTTAGCTTAGGTAAACTTTTCCAGTTTCCTTCGTTAGATTAAGAATTTTAGTACATTCCCCTGAAGAAATGTGGGCCTGGGTACGAGCGAGCGGTAATTAAATTAAAGTTGAGCAGCAAAATGTCTGCAAAAAATATATAGATATATATATAAATATGTATAACACGGATTAGAGTAATTTTTCGAAACTCGAATGTGCAGTGAGTCTAAACTGAGATTCTTTCGTTAACGTAAAACGGATTTTTTTTCCAACATCATAGTCAGTTATTATTAATTCATAAGTCGCAGAGTGAAGTCAAACTTCAGGATCTCCCGACAAATTGTTATCGTTAAAAACGCCATGCCATAAACGATTTTGTTCACTTAATTTACATTTTTCGGCGAAGTCCGTCGTAATCTTTTTGAATGACTGACTGGTGTTTGACAGCTTTTCGTAGAACTTTCTGTTGATTTTGTTGAAACTCCTTGGCCAGTAATAGAGCTGACAACCACACGTGCTGTGAAATTTTGTTTGGTAATCTCGGATCTACATCTTTTTGAAGAATTTAGTGACGTGATTTGAAATCTCTGCTTTTCACGAAATTCCTACATTTGGAGTGATTCTTGACTTAGTTTTCAACTGGCCAGGGAGTTTGAAAATCAACATTAAGATTTTACAAAAGCGTTAATAATTAAAAAAAAAATGTTTTCAAGTGATAGAAGACGGCGCATTCGACTGTAAAAAAAGAAGAAATCTTACATAAAACGCAATTGTCCTCACTTATTTTACATTTAACTCAAATTCGTTCTAAAGTAAATTTTCTTGTTTTGCCATTGGTTTCAAAACACACCAAGTCGTATTTATAACTTAAATCAGGATGTTTTCCGCAGCTTACGCACCTCTTTGTTTAATTCTTTTATCCTGTTGTCAAGGTGTATTTTCTCCTAACATATCTCCATACATTTTTCATAGCATTAGTTGGGAGAATATGTTTGGCTATAATGGCAATCGATATCGTTCTCTTTAGTGATCAAGTCCTGAATTCTCGTCACACGAATGCTTGATTTTGTATTGTTATTTTAATGAGAAATCGTATGTTGATCACTCTTAGAGGTTCAAGGTTAATTTAAGGAGTTAATGCCATGCGGTATTGAAAGCTCTGTTTCACTGAACGTTTAAAACTCAAATTATTTTTATCACAGTTTAAAAGATATTTTTCTTCGTTTTTCTTGACATTAATTTTTTGTAGTTTCACTTGTGTTTTGACGTTTTATGGAACGGAGCTTGAAAGAAGTACAAGAATAATCGCACAATGTTTGTGAGGTTCATTCCTCTGCAGTTTGACGGCGCTGTCCTGGCAGGAAACGCGAGGAAAAAGCTGCTTTTCTTATTTTAAAGACATTGTATCATAATTATATATTCGCATTCGCAAATTTTACGAATGAAATTTCTCAAAAATTGATATCTATAATCGTGTTTTTATATTTGATTGATTGATTTTCTGGAATAATTTTTTGATGGAAAGAAATATGTTAATGAATTAATTTTTTTCTGTGTTTCCTCGCCACCGGGTCGCCTTGGAACTGCATTTTGTCACTTATATGTCGAAAAATTAAGAATACACAACATATACAAAAAAAATGCGGCTTATCTTCCCAAGGAAAAGGATATACAGTTCTGCTGGGAATGGCAAAATAATTATTCCAATTTAAAAAGAAAGATTCAGAATCTAGGAAATATTTCAAATCTAATACACACGTGCGATGGAACGCAAAACAGAGACATATATATAGAAATGTTAATTTGTTCTTGCGGACTTGTTTCACCAGTCCAAAATACATAATTTTTAAATGGAATTAACTTAATTGCAAGGTCAGGCAAAGAGGTTTTTTAATATAAAACGTGCACATGTTGAATTTCTCATAGGATCATCAAGTTACAGTAACGTTGTAAATATTATAGGTTATAGAATTTAAGAAAAAACAAAATCATTATCCCAGTTTAACACCTCATAGTAGAAAAATTATATGAAGTTAAAATTTGCCAAAAACATATTTTAGTGGAATTTGGTAAAAGAATTGTTATTTGATCCATTTATATTCAAAGATAAGTACAAACCGCCGAAGAATCTTCGCAAGACACCGGCAACGAATATTAAATGTACTTTTGTTCAATTTTGTTTTCCTAGCGTAGCGTATATTTGAAAGACTGCTTTTCAGTCGCTGCCTTAA